TTTTTTTTTCTCACCTCCAGGACGTAGTCCAAGGCCTCAGACCTGAAGGCCTTGCGTGCATTGAGCAGAGCGTTACTGGCCTCCTCCACTTCATGTTGCTTCCCCCGTGGGGCCTGAGCGTTTCTTCCCAGCGCCCCCTCCAAGGTTTCACTGCTTCGCTCAAACTCCTTGCGCACATCCTTGAGTCGACGAACATCTCTGGAGCACAAAAGAATGAAACAGAGTTAGACGTGGCTTATATTTAACTTTTATCTGACACAGAAAACAAAATGCAGAACCAAGTTACAGGCTCATCTCTCATTTAATGTAATCCCCACTAAAAAGAGCAGACGGAAAGACAAAATATGAGGAGAAGGAAAATGAAGGATCATAAGCCTCTGATATGTTTTCATGTGGTGTGCTAATAGTTGGCGAAGACGCAGGCGAGTGACTCAGTCTGAAGAAGGGAGCCGAGTGCATTACTGAGAGAAACCAGGCACCAAAATCAACAGGATTAGATGAAACAGGGAAGGACGCCAAAGTAGCTCACTCACTCTTTCACAAAAGTCTGCAGCTTTGTCTTGACTGACTTCTGTGTGGTCTCAATCACTTCCTAAAGAGTAAAAGCCGTTACCACAGTTTACTGTTAAATGTCAAATGTAACATGCTTCACAATGTGCTGCAGCTGATAAGCCTCATGACTGAAATGGAAACTCTGTGCAAAGCTGGTAAATCAAAGGCCCAGACAGGCAGACCTACCCCCTGTGCGTCAAAGATGATGGACAGCTTTTTGGAAAATTTGTCCAGACACTCCTGCAGTACAGACACCTTAGGTTAGACTCTGCAATCCATCATATCTTCATTTTAATGCTTTTGTTCTGTAACAATCATCTCTATTTAACTGTACTTATTATGATTCCTGGTTCATTTGAATCTATTTAGTCTCATTCAAACCATTTCACAAAGGTAAATTTAGGGTAAGCTGGGATAAATATAACACAATGAGTGCTTTTTAAAACATTTCTTTGACTACTCAGTCTTAGTGATGAAGTGACGGTTTAACACTACATGAGATAACATGAGTGTGAAAATGACTCCCTGACATGTGGTATGTCAGTTTGCTCCTATCACCTCCATCATCTTGTCCCCAGAGCACTGGTGTCCCAGCTCTCGGAGGCCGTTGACAAAGCTCTTGCTGGTCTGGCAGTAGACCCTGCCTGCCTCCAGCATGGCCTGGCATTGCTTCACAAGCTGCAAGACACAAATATGCAACACCACGGTTAAATCCATCTGGAATACGTCAACAAAGGGTATTTGAGGGGACTAACGAATAGCCATAATCAGCACGAGCAATTAACGATAACAAGGATTTTAAACTGTTCGGTTCACAGAGTTAAGGTATCAAGTAGTAGGAGCCTCTGATTTTACAGATCTTGGATGCTGAATTTCATGTGTTGTATCTTATAATAATCACTTTTTTAAAAACAGTTTTATTAATTTTAACAAAC